GGTAAACGTAGCTTTGTTCTCTCTCTCTCTCTCTCTCTCGCTCTCTCTCTCTCTCTCACCATGGTCCCATCACAGCATGTTCATAACATGAGTACTGTTTGAGTGCAGCATGCAAAGTGCACTTCTGAACGAATATGGGGTTCAAAAACATGTAAAAAGGGAAAGCTCCCATAGTAAGACATCCCATGAGGAATAGTGGTGAATGTTAAATGAAAGTACACTTATTTAGTTTGCATATCTGTCACACTTTGTTATAAACTACTGAATTACAACATCTTACTAAAATAAGTTTGCCTGTGCAATCTTTAAATTGGTATTATTATACATATATTGTATGATAGTCTTTAATTACATGATCAAATACTGTTTTTTCCACAGAACTCCTGTCTCATTCAGCATTTAGGATGGATGGTGCTCAGTGAATTAATTCAATATTTTTTTATCCTTTTACAATGAGTGGCACCAGGCCTTAGTGCACATACTATCCAAATCCTGCCCTGAATGCAGAATTAACTTCCTGATAGGCTTTTATAGGGCATTCGTCACCACAACATCTGAGTGCTTCAAAATCATCGTTATCTTTACAACATGGCTTTGAAAGAGGTGATGTCATCCATCCCCATTTAACAGCTGGGGAACTGAGACACAAAGATTAAGGACAAAATTGTTAAGTGTGCTTTAAATTTGGATACTTAAATTGAGATGCCTAGAGCTTGATTTTTCAGACTACTTAGCATTTTTCTGGCACTTCGTATGCTCAGCTTACAGCACGCCTTGAGTTTGGTTGCAGCTGTGAGTGTTGAACACTTGTCCAGATTTGGGCTCAGATGTATCCAGTTAAGTACCCACAAAGTAAGAAGTGCAGAGTTAGTGGCTTCCTGTGGAAGAAATTGGTTTTTGTGAGTTGCCCAGCATCACATGGGAACTTTGTGACAGAGGCAGGGATACAGTCCAGTTCTCTAGGGCTGCATTCACCTGTCGTAACCACAAGACTGTTCTTTCCCTTTCTGCTGTCCCCTGCTTTCTTCAGCAAACCAGGTTAGAGTCCAAAAGACAGCAGCCTCGTTCCCTGCACAACCCCAGTTTGATCCCAGGACACAGTCCATCCTATGCAATGAATGAGGCCAGGGTCCTGTGGGGAAACATAGTTTTTAATTGCATGTTCACGTACTATCATAATGCACACATGCAAAGGGGGGTGGGATGAAGGTTGCATGGACAATCTTTCTGGCATTTCCTAATTTTGAGTAATTAACTTTGCAACCTCAGCTTTCCTTTTACTTAGTTTTTTGGAAGTCATTTCCTAGATTTAAAAAAAAAAAAAGCAAACTGAAAAAAACGACGTTTCACTGCAAGGAGCTATATTGACACCCCGACTCTCACACTTGGGCAATTAACAGGGTTGGAATATTTGTATCCGTACCTCAAACTTCCATCATGTGGGCTAATTGAATCAGTGGTGCTGTTAAGACTATTATTTTCTATATGGATCGGCAACTAAAGGTTGATGACACAGTTTGCCAGTAGGTTTCACAGCTATTTTTAGATACACCTCTACCTCGATATAACGCTGTCCTTGGGAGCCAAAAAATCTTACCACATTATAGGTGAAACCGCGTTATATTGAACTTGCTTTGATCCACTGGAGTGCACAGCCCCGCCCCCCTGGAGTACTGCTTTACCGTGTTATATCCGAATTCATGTTATATCGGGTCACGTTCTATCGAGGTAGCGGTGTACCAGAAGAATCATAGAATATTAGGGTTGGAAGAGACCTCAGGAGCTCATCTAGTCCAGTCCCCTGCTCAAAGCAGTACCAACCCCAACTAAATTATCCCAGCCAGGGCTTTGTCAAGCTGGGCCTTAAAAACCACTAAGGATGGAGATTCTACCACCTTCCTAGGTAACACATTCCAGTGCTTCCTCTTCGTCCTCTATGCTACCTGGGTAGGGAGCATTGAGAGCACAGAAGAGTCCCTGCTTTCAGTTCCAATGTCTGGTGCTGCAGCAACTCCCAGCAACTTGGAGGAGTAAGTGAAAGTCCTGCTCAGGTGCTGCAACATAAGTGCTGATGGAATCTTCAGAGAATTTTTCTGGCTTGTGCAAATGGTGATTTTTCAAAGGGTTATTTTTCAAAGGGTTATAATTCAGCCATATGTGAGTGGATTTTCACCTACCAGTATTCAAGTTCCTGTTCCAAAGCATGGAGGCACTAGAGATTCTCATTAAAATGATTGTAAGGTATTTTTTTTAATTAAGAATTGGCCAAAATACGTTTTCCCCAAAACTTTGTTCCTGGGAATTGCTGAACTATTTTTGTTGAAATTTTGTAGGAAAAAAATTTCAGCCAGTTTCAGCCTGAATACTTATAAATTTGCTAAAGTAAGTGACTGAAAACAGGGCCTTAGAGTGCAAAGTAACCTTAACTATAAGCAATGCTGCCAGTCCTACCTATAATGGAGATGACATCTGGGTGACTCTGTATTTAATGGTAGAAATTGCAGAGATATTGAACAAAAAATAAGAATCCACCTGGATAAAATTGTGTGAAAGGGGAAGAGTATGATGTTACTAAACACTTTAGAAAATTTTAATTATATAATGAACACAATACCAAGAGGAAGGTATTACAATATGTGATGAGATGACAACAGATTATCTTCAGCTGAAGATCAGGAAGAGCTTGTGTCTTGCACAGGAATTCCTTCTAGGAAAGATGGTTTAATGTCATCGTTTTGGCCAGACTGCATATGAGCCCTAGAGAAGTTCATGTTGACATAATGGTTAACAAGTCCAGTGTGCCCAGCCACTTCAGCATCCTCCCACAGGGTGCTGCCATACCTCCAAAAAGTAAACTGGTTAACTTTTCAGATTGCAATTTTTAACTGTCCTATCCAGGAATGTGGGTTTATCAAGGCAGCCATCTTGATTGGGCTTCTGATCAGGGTTGTTGTCAAAGAAAAAATCCACAGGAGTATCAGTTTCCTGGAACTTTATGCTGTGTGATGGGCACTGTTAGTTCAGAAGGAATGCCTGATTGGCTACTATATTATAGTCCAGCTGGACAGCATTTCCACAGTTGCTTCCCTCAGAAAGCAATTGGGTGGGGAAGACATTAAGTGTGCATTGTTGCACAGGTAAGACATGCCTCTTATTTGGTGGACCCAAGCTCACTTAGAGTTGCAGGGGCTACGGGAAAGTGATGAGCAGTCTTCTAGCTTCACAGAAAGCTTAACAGAACATACTCCTCGAAAAGCTGTTATAGCTACAGAGACAGGCTATCCCTTAAGGCAAAGTTAGATGGGGTTGTTGGCTGAGTTCAGGATGCTGTGTGCTTGATCACTGCCACAGCTCCCTGAAGATGCACACCTTTGTGTTGGCAAGTGTCCTGGATAACAGAAGGAAATTCAAGCTGGCCTCTCACCATTACATAAAACATTTTCTTCAGAGAGCACAAAAACCTTTGTATCAAAGGTTATTTCATCCCTTCTTCCTCTATTTCTGTGCTCAATGCATGATGTACTTTTCAGGTAGGTAATTTTGCATTATAGAGAGCTCTCTTGGAGGATGGATCTGGAGCTGTTAATCGGGGAGATGGAACCCCATGCTTTTCCCCCTGGGGCCAGATGGTCAAATCTCTTAACCAGCCTTTTTAGGAGTAGAGATATTAAGCTGGTCTGAAGAAATATTTCTTTTATAGAATAGTGTTGATAAATTGTATAGTCAATTGCTTGACCACAGTTTGGTTTGTTATGTAATGTACTCAAGAGCCCAAATAACCAATGTCAGTCAGGTTCAGTAATATGGTACTGGAAAAAATTCTATACGATTCCAGTCTCCGAAGAACAGTCCCATGCAGCTATGTTACATTCACTTTATGCAGAAGGTGTGCTCCTCAAGGTACACGTTTCAGCTGGTACTATTTATATGATGATTTTTACAGATTACATCTCTCTTTACATGTCCCTAAAATCCAACCATCAGTTTGTCCAAGTTCTCTACTTTGTTGTTCTGTTCCTTCCTTATCTTTGTTTTGAATACTAGCTTTCCAGGTACGGGTCCAGGAAGTTATATCCCTATCTGGTACTAAGGCAGAGAATGAAATGTATCTTGATTTTGGCAAGTTTCCTATCTGCTTGTGCCAGATGCTTACTTCAGCAAATGCAAGTTGGTATGGGATATTTAGCATAAGTGAACAAGATTATGATATAGGCCAGTTTAAGCTATATCACTTTTAGAATATTTGTGCTTAATGCTATCGGTGCTTATTTGCACTATATACACCTCTACCCCGATATAACACTGTCCTCGGGAGCCAAAAAATCTTACTGCGTTATAGGTGAAACCGTGTAATATTGAAGTTGCTTTGATCCGCCGGAGTGCGCAGCCCCGCCACCCAGGAGCACTGCTTTACCGCATTATATCCGAATTCGTGTTATATTGGGTCACATTATATCGGGGTAGAGGGGTGTGTGTGTGTGTGTGTGTGTGTATGTATATATATATACACACACACACACACACACACACACACACACACACACACACACCACC